GACCTGACGTGAAAGGCATGAATGAACAAAGTTGTTTTTACAGTTTATTATGATTACAGTGGTCCTGTGTTAATCGCGGAAGTTACATTCTAAAAATATCCCACAATAGGCGAAATCTACGAAGTTGTTGGCATTTTTTTACAATTATTATAAATGTTTTAAGGCTGTAAAACCCCTCATTACACACTTTATACCCTTTTCTCAGACAGGCATTTACATTTTCAGACATTTTTCTCTTGTTTAAAGTTTCAATGAAAAATTTGTCCAGTATTAGGCTATAGAATGAAACCAAAGATCACAACTTGTCAAGCACAAACATTCATCGCTGTCAGCAAAGGTTCATGAAGCTTTATAGCTTTTGTGTGGATAATGTCGGCATACAATGTATTGTGCTTTTTCCTGCAGTTGTTGATTCACAAAGCTAAAGTAGACTTCATACTTCAGGGGGTCGCACACTGAACGTGCCGCGCATACGACATTTGGTAATAACACACACCGGACGTGCACATTCGCATGCTTTTTTTAAAATTAAATTGTTCAGATGGTGCTCAGTGACGTGACAGACGTGTCCTGAATCGTAGCTAGTATGCAAACCCTGATATAAAACTTTGTATAGCCTACAACCTACAATTGTAAAATGCGTGGCGCATCAGGTATGCGATTCCATTTTACGGTGGTCTTGCTGCTGACAGTTGCAACTCTTTTTGCATTCTTGTTGAAACTCACACTGCTAGTGATCTAATATTTGTGTTAATTTGGCAAGCTGAATGCATTCTGTACTGTACAGGAGACTCTGAGTAGATCAACTGACAATGTTCTACAGCCAATCAGGACGCTAAACACAATGCGCTGTAAAAAAAAAAACATGTAAAATTGCACAAAGTCTGCGAGGCTACGAAAGGTGAACCACGTTATAGCGAGGGATATTTTAGTTATTTCCTAGAGCTTTGTGCGATTACAGTTGAACCACTGAAGCCACATGGAATGTTTTTGGTTCCTTGAGAGTTGCTGTCTATGCAGGCTCCGAGAGCTCTCGGATTTAAACAAAAACATCTTCATTTGTGTTCTGAAGGCCTTGGGGGATTGTAACAATCTAAGGGAGAGTTATTGATAACGGTATTCAAATTTTTTTTGCTGTACATTTATTCTTGATGCTATGTTTCTAGTTTACCCAACAAAATCTCACAGCAATTCTTAACTTTTTGTTTAGTAGCTAATTCATATGAAGTCATACGTTCTAATTCGTACAATTTAGTAAGATTTGCTCATCGATTAATGACAGTTGGGTTTAGGAGTGAGGTTTGGTGCAACACCACCTTTTTAAAATTGTACAATTTCCTATGACTGAACTTGAAATACTAAACTGACAAACGTAAAATATCAGGTGTCAACACTGTCTTATGCCACAGTGACTCTCTCTAATGGCTATTTGTTTTTCTGTTTCTCTCTTAAGAACAATACGAGTCCTTCGTGAAATTCACACAGGATCAGATTATGCGAAGATATGGTGCCAGGCCTGCAAGCTGTAAGTGTATTAATTTCCTCATCAAACATTGTGAAATTTTATTTACGTTATTCGATTGCTTTGAGTATAAAGTTTTTTTTTTTTTTTCCCTCCACTTTGTCATCTGTCTAAATGCTGATTGTGGTCTGTTTATTTTCAGATGTGTCTTGAAGAACATTATAGATGGTACTTGCCATCCCTCAGCAGCTGGTTGCTACAGAACCAGCTTCCTTTGTTTCACTTGAAATTTCCTCCATTCTTTTGATTCTATTTTTTTCTCCTTTAAAATGCTTGGGTGCCATGTTCTATCCACATTTAACTCATTTTTATTGCTGAACTGTTACTGATGGCCCAACACCAAACATGCATATCTAGATGCATTCTAAGAAGGTTTAATCTCTTTAAGAATTTCTGAGAAAAGATGTCAACTATCGCTGTAAAAAGCTTGACTGATGCGATCATCTCTGTATAATGTAACGTGACTGATCTGCAGCAGATTTACCTGACTCTCCCTCTATCCTTCGGTCTGTTTTTTAACTCTTCACCTCCTTTTTTTCTTTTTTTGACAAATAAAATATCTGTGATAAGTCAGCAATTGTAGTGATTGTTCTTTTTATGTGTGAACTTATGAATGCACAAAGGGAAATTATGAAGGGAGTGTTTGGTCTTTTTTTAATGATTTAATGATGCTGCACTAAAGTAGTCACCCCATGCACATTCTGATTATGTACCCCTATAAACATTTCTGGAGAGTTTCAAATATGTCCCAGGAGCTACGTTTGCATTTTTTGGTTTCGAGAATCCACCAGAGGCCACTGTCTACACTTTGAGATCTTAAATTTCTTTTGCAAGTGCCATCTGTGCCTGTTCTTCTCACGTAAATCCACCTGAGGCCGCTGTCGACTGACTTACTGACCGAACTATTTCTCCCCACCCTAATCCCAACTGACAGTGCTTTCAAAAGCAATTCAGAAATGAAAAACCCTGATTCTTACCACGTTTTCTTACCACGTTCAGATTTTATCACATTTTCACTCTGATATTACTTATTGGCTTTTGTTTTTGTCCAATTTTTGTTACATTCTGTAACCGTTCTTCTTCGGATTCAAACTCTGTGGTCGCAGTCAGCTCCTCTCTGCATCTCAAATCCTCCAAACGTACACAGCTAGCCACTGGAGAAACTGGTAACAGCAGGAAAGCCGTCCATACAGAGGTAGGCAGTCAGCTGGTAAGCACAAAAAGGAACTGCATCATACCACCCCATAGCGTTCATGTTGAAGACAAAATGAAGCCATACATACTTTAGGCTACATAATTCATGATCTCCAGAAATGTATATAGGGCTACGTTTTCAGAATGAACCTATACTGAAAGATGTTAAACCTTACAGAATCCAGGAGCTCCAATAAAATGTTTGATTTGATGTCTGTTAACTTATAAATGTCGTAGCGTGGCGTCATATAATTCAACTTCAGGATTATTTTCTTTTCAAAGTAATTCATAACTTAAAGGTGGGTAAAATACACATAAAATCAAAACTAACCGTATAGATTTTTCTTTAGCTCACATTGCTAGACTACTAAAGAAACTGATAAAGCAGCTGCAACAACAAGAGTTTTTCAAGTTATACATGTGGGAATTGCTGAAGAGCAAAGGCTGGAAGTACTGACAAGAGAGCAGTGGAGACAGCTCTGCGTCCTCTTTAGTAGCCATAAAAAAACAGCTTTAATAATGTGGAGATGGCAATAACTCCAGGGTGAGGAAAATAATCATTTTAATAATGTGGTCATTTAATTTATCATATACTTTTGCCTGCCCACATGTTCCTCCCTGTGTGTCTCAATCTCTGTTGTCAGGAGGTGTTCTCTGCATAACTGTCCGTTTACCCCCAAACAAATTATTTTTGGATATTTTATTAAAGAATCCTAAAAATGGATCATGCTTTCCCCAAAAACATTAAGCACCTCAACAGTTTTAAACACTTATAATATGAAATCACCATTAAGGTATTTTGTGACACTGGAGCAGCCTAATGTTCTTTTAAAGAGATTATTTGCAATAATAATAATAAAATAAAATTCATAATCCACTCAAAGTTTTGAACTGCATCAGGGTGAGTAAATTATGAAAGCCCGTTCCCGCCACTGAATAATAAAACAAGTCATTGTGACTATTAAAGTCAGAATTCTGATAAAAACAGTCGCAATTGCGAGTTATAAAGGAGTTTCCTGTTATGGTGACTGATTAAAATACCCAACCCCAGCCCTAACCCTAGCCCTCACAGTGACGTCACTACCTCCATTGAGTGCATTTTGTCTGACATTGCATCTCTGAGCGGTGCAATCTCAGCTTGCATCGTAAAGGCTGAGGCGTGAGTGTCTTAATCAAGTAGAAACGAGTCCAAGGCATGTGAAAAAGCTTTTAGGCTTTTCTGTTCCTGATGAAATGAAAAGACTATGAACATCTACAGATCATCCCTCCATCCATTAAAGCGGGTTTCACCTTTACAAAGTTGCTTCTATGATTGAAGTGCTTAAATAATTAGGTTATATACCAAAAAGTCAGGGGCTGCGTCCGAAACCGCATACTTCCATACTATATAGTATGCTAAAATCAGTATGCGAGCCGATTAGTATGTCTGAATTCATAGAATTCGAAAATCAGTTTGCAAGAAGTGCCCAGATGACTTACTACTTCCGGCGAGATTCTGAAGTGCGCATCCCATGCATGCTGCGCTATCCCATGATGCCCCGCTAACAAATTCATGAATGGAAGGGAAGCAACTCTACTGACGCAGGTAGGTCACATGACCATGACAAAAAGGAGGATGTAGTATGTCCGAATTCCATTCATACTGCTCACATTTATACTGTATAGAACATACTTTTCTAACGGCTGAGTAGTGCGATCAAATTCAAAATGCAGAACCTATTGTGTAGTAGGTGGTTTCAGACGCAGCCTAGGTCTTTGTTCTTCAACAATATACCAACTTTGAGACCACAGTAGAGTACATTTGTATCTGCTTGGAATGCAGCCAGTTCTGAAGTTACTTCCAAAAATCTTTTATTACTTCACAGTGAAAAAAAAAAAGTTCTACGGTTTCAATATCTCTCACAAAAGCCGCATGAATTGTTTCCCCAGTAAAATTTTTCATGTAACAATTATTAGATGGGCAAATGTCATTTTCAATTTGAAATGCTACTTTTTTTAGCCTTGGGAAGTTACATTGTAAATAGTGAGGGCTTTTTTTATTTTTGAGTGAACTATCCCTTAACACAAATGTTAACGGCAATGGCGGCCTCTCGTGGTCGTACAGAATATTATACATGTGTCATACTCATTGAATGAATTAAGTTACCCGTTTATGTGTTTTCATATAATGTAATTTGTACAGCAGGTTATCTGTCAATTGATAGACGTGATTGAAACATTTTATTGGCGTGAAATGTGATATTTCAATTGAAACGACACAAAATCTTTAATTACATCACGTGACTTCAGGTGTGTCGGTTTGAGGAAGCGCAGGTAGAGAGTCTGCAAAACTTTGGCGGTTCCGACCGAGCCTTTTATTGTTCCAGAAAAGTAAACAATAAACAGATCCTGCAGACCCTTCAGTTTGAAGCTTGAGGAAGGAAGACTGAAACCGGAAAAGCTGGATCAAGCCTGTAATTATCGTCCAGGGAGAGCGTATTTCAGTCCGTGGTGGTCGCACGAGTGCCTTTTGTTACTTTGTTCATATTTGTTCAAAACTGACTTTATTTCGTCATTATTTACTCAAATAACCAAATATAATAATAAGCCCCGTTTGGCGCGCGCTTTCTGAGAAAACTCCTATAGTCGCGTGAGGTGGTGGATCCATACTGGGTAAGTACTGGCATATTACTAAGTTACACAAAGCCTACTGTACGTAGTTTCGGTAATAAGTCGTTCTTTTTATCACTACATTTAACTTTTCAAGTATTTACAAAAAACATCGAATATATACAACACATATTAAAAATTCATATAAACCGTGTTATAAACTTTGCACTTAGTTCATAAATGACGATTTTGTACATAAAGTAGTTTCTAGCATGAAAAGCAACACAGCCCTTTAGTAACCTCGTAAATTATTGCATGCAGGATGGATTTGTTTGTGCAGGAAGAGCCAACAACACCGGAAGAGTTGAAATGCACACAGTAGGCTAATTAGTTTTCTTTAGGTTGTTTTTTGTTTTGCGTCAGTTTCACAGAATATCAATAACGTTTTATCAATAAAAGCCATGTTTCTAGTTTTGTCTACTCATTCAGACCGACCGTTTGTATTTGCATTTTTAAGATAGAGAAATGGGCGATAATGACACCGAAGAGCAAGACTCTTTGCAGAAGGACGAAGAAGCTGGTAACCGAGACAATCCGGTCAGAAGAGTTCGGAGGGTCGAGAAGTTTCATAAGAATGTTTCTAAATGGATGCTTCCCGAGGAGTTACATGAGACTTATCTGGAACGGGCGAACTGCTGTCCGCCACCGATCTTCATCATCCTCATCAGTTTAGCAGAGGTAAAGACAGCTGTCAAAACAGCTGCTGTTTCTTCAAGTCTGAAGCTGGTTAAAGATGATTAACCTGATCTCTCTGAAGTACAATTTGTGTTTACATTGCTTTTACACACAAATATTCTGTCTGTATGTACAATGCTCAGTAGATAGAAGTACACCCCTCACAAATCTCTTTTAAAATTAATATTTTCAATAAGAAGCTGTACAATATTATAATTGTGCATATACATTAGATTAGTAGTAAAGGAAAATCTGGAGCTTATTTAACAAAATCACTTACGATAATGGTCCAAAAACTCATACACCCAAATTTATGTTATAAAATACAGGAAAAATCAAGAGAAGCACAAAAATTTAGTTAATATTTTGTAGGTTGTATAAGTGAAATAAAATAAGTGATGTTCCTTAAATCATATGCTTTGTTGAATATTTATCTAAAAGGTTTTTTTTGAATGAACAGGAATGGAAAACTAATGATGTCCATAGATATAGTCTATAGTATAATATATTACTATAAATGTTTATTCATTTGAAAATATTTACAGCAACCAGTACATTTCCATTCATTTGCTTTGGGTGTCTTGCTGTGAAAGAACTGAGTTTCTTTTCAGCTTTCTTTCCAGCCTTCCACTTTTCCATTCCTGAATGGCAAATCTTAACCACAGTGTTTGAAAAGCCAGATTCATCCATGTTTCCAGACACATTTCTCAAAATAGACCTCTCTAGACACTGACAAACCAGTATTTAATAAATTCATGTTTTTTTTAAGTGCATACAAGTTTGCTGACACATCTTAGTAATCAGTTATACTGTTAAGCCAAAATGGTTGTCTTTGACATTCCTACTAAAAACCCTTTGGGCAGTTTTATTTTAACAAAACGAAGTTGATAAGTGGAAAATCCACAATCCTCCACCAGGATCATTTTGATTTGTATGTGTTGAGGAAGAGTTTATTGTCATCTGTTAGCTTTCAGTCTCAGTAGACCTGTGTTACCCAGGCCTCTTTATAGCCTCTCCAGTGGCCATTCACCTACTTTTCTTATTCAGTGTCTCACTCTCTTTTTGACTTTTGACAGCTGGCTGTGTTTATCTACTACGCTGTATGGAAGCCTCAAAAACAGTGGATAACTCTAGGAACTGGGATCTGGGATAGTCCTCTTACCTATAGACCAGAACAACGCAAGGAGGCTTGGCGCTTTGTTTCCTACATGTTTGTACATGCCGGGTATAAGAATCTTGCTCCTTTTTCATTTTAACACAACTCTCTGTTTTTCAACCATTGGGCTCTCACATGAAAACTGCTTAATGAAAATTGATTTTTGTAGATCCTTGCAATCCCGAGTGACATTAAGTGGATAGTTAAACCAAAAATAAATATTCGGCCACTCATTTTAAACCTGCTTGATTTTCTTTCTTTTGTTTAACACAAAGGGAATGTATTGTAAAGAATGTTGGGGGAAAAGCAGCCATTTTTTTACTATGGATGTCAATGGCTGCTTTTTCCAGCATTCTTCAAGCTATCTTGTTTTATGTTCATCAAAAGAAAGAAATTCCTCAAACCTTGCAACCATTTGAGTGTGAGTGAATAATGAGATAATACATTTTTTTGGGTGAACTATTTCTTTGCAGTTTATTTCAGTGGCAATGTTACACTGCTGATTTACTGATGAATGCAAATCACATTTATTGATTTCTGGATCATATGTCCAAGGTGAAGCTTTGTATTCATCTGACTGTTTTGTTTAGGGTGGAGCATATCATGGGGAACTTATTAATGCAGCTTCTTCTGGGTATTCCTCTGGAACTGGTCCATAAAGGCTTTGAAGTTGGCATGGTGTACATGTGTGGGGTCCTCGCAGGTGGGTTTATATACATATATTTCAAACGTTTTAATTAAGGTAGAGTACAATCAGTTGACACTGCTGAAGATGTGGTACCTCACATTGCAGTGCACTCAATGTCTGTGACTATTATTATTGTATCTGATTGCAGTCATTTACTGCAAGTTGTGTGACTACATTAAACATATTTGCTTATTTGTTCTAAAATATGTGTAGGGGCTGTATATTGTCTTGCATACACTTTTTACAAAGTACTATTCTGTATACAGGAGAAAGTGAGCTTCATGGCTGGCCAATTAATTAAAGACAATTTTGATATGTATTTTGACAGTAAAGCCAGTAAATGGCTTGCCTTCAGTTTCTTCTTTGTGGGTGTTTGGAGTTTCCATAGGATGGCACCCTCTGGCCTTTGGAGGAAATTTCAAAGAACTGTGCATTGTTGACAGCTTTTCTCAATCACCATTGCAATTTCTTTCATTAATCACCCAGCTGCACTTATAGGTATGTTGATGCAGAGTTATACCTTGTTGTTTTGTTGTATTCTAAACAGAAGGCTATTGGCTGCTTGTGAGATGATGACATTAGTGACGCACACAGTTTGAAATCTCTCTGAAAGCTTTCAAGGGAACGTTTGAAAGCATTGTGAGACAACTGGGGTCTGTTCTTCGTACCTCGCTTAAATAATCTGAGATTATTTGTCAAATTCTGGATCTTTTAATCTTGATAACTAATTCAATTCAATTCATCTTTATTCGTATGGCGCTTTTACAATGTAGATTATGTCAAAGCAGCTTCACATAGAAGATTATAATGGAAATTCCTGGATAATTTGGTTTAAATTCGCGAACCAGATTAAAATATCTGGATGAACTGATCTGAGATTGTTGCGTGTGTTAAGGACGGGTCTATCAATCCTCGAAATCATGATCAGCAATCATTGGTTGACGGTTCAGCAGCATAATGATTATCTGATTAATAATCAATTATCCTTCTAAGCTAAATTATATAAAATTGGTAGTAAACGGTTTGTTAAATATGAAATGCAATAACTTTTCACCTTTGTTGTGGGCTACAGAATTTACATATTCATGTGTCAAGAGAAGAGTATTTAGCAATTTATTTAGTTTTACATGTAGAGCAAGTTTTCTTCATTACTATAGTAGCCTATAGGCCTATTCAAGTTTTTTAAATCGGTGTAAGGAATAACTGGCTGATTAAATTAAGTCAATATTCTGTACATACTTTCAGTATTACCTAAAACTGTATTACTACAACAGTTTTACTAATCCTGTTTATATGAAATAAGCTGCTGCTCCCGAACGGGTTTGAGCTACCAGAACTCTTGGATGAGTTTTGAAGAACGAAAGATCTTGGATCATGTCAAAATTGTGAATAACTAAATCCAGAGTAATCCACATACGAAGAACAGAGCCCTGATCTGTCAGGTTGATTTGAAGTGACTTTCGCATGCTCTCATGTCCATGTAAATGCAGGCTGAAGCGAGTGCATCGATGGCCATTTTGGCCAATCACAGACATTTCTGTTGAGCTCGTAAACACAAAAACCAGTCAGCCCATGACTTACTGTCTCATTGGTTGTCACTACATCTGAACCTACTTGAGGTCGAGTTGGCTGACTGGTCAGGAATATTTTGTATGATGGAAATTAGAGGTGTCAGCAATGCGTTAGCAAGCTTCTTTAATGCATTGTTTAGTATTTCACACATAAAAACTGACGAGCACCAATCACCCACAGGTTTTCCTATGATCACATATCAACTTAAAAACAGGCTTAAAATACTGTAGTGTGAACTAGGCATTAAATGACAAAAAAACATACATTCTTACTCTCTACTTGATTTTTTAATTTCAAGGCTAGATCAAAAATACAACAGAAACAGTTATTGTTTTTTGAAACCTTTTCCTGCCTGCCTGTCTGTCTGTCTGTCTATCTATCTATCTATCTATCTGTCTGTCTGTCTGTCTGTCTGTCTGTCTGTCTGCCTCTAAGCTATATATGCTTCAGACTATTATCACTGGTTTTCAACAAAGTTTATATGTATGTTGAGAAGAGTTGTGTGTTATAATATGTGATGTGATGTAGCACTAGCTAAGGTGAAAATTTCTGCCTCTCATTGGATTGAGTGAACAGTAGTGAATTGTTTTAGCTGTACTGTTAAAATGGTGCATGTGTCTGTGATGGTCTCATGTCATTCATCATAACAAAACTGCCAACCGCTCATACATAATTTTCCAAGTCAATGAATGTCACTCATTAGGTTTAAGGATAGATAAGGATAGTTTCTTAGAAAAAAAGTTATCAACATGCTTCAGAAATAATTGATTACACTAAAATCATATTGATTAACCTTGATGGACACCTTGATGGACAAAATCTTGGGCACCGTTCACTGCCATTAGAAAGCTGAAAAGAGTCAGTTTATTATTTAATATTATTCTGATTTCACTAATTTGAAAAAGCAAGGGCATATAGACCCAGGAAAGCTTAAGGAGAGGTTAATTATAGGATGGTTTTCTTTTTTGTGTAAACTATTCCTTATAAATGATCACAGCCGTTTTTGTGAAATCCAGTTGTTTGATACAGATGTGCTTCCTGTTTCAGGGTCTCTGGCCAGCTCCATCTTTGATCCTTTCAGTGCTCTTGTGGGAGCTTCAGGTGGTGTTTATGCCCTTATGGGTGGCTACTTCATGAATGCCATTGTGGTGAGTAGATTTACAGTAACATTTGATGCAGATCAGATTATATACTCATGTTCCCAGAACCAAAAGGTTTTCTTCTCCCTGTAGAATTTCCGGGAGATGAGAGTTCTTCTAGGAGTGTTTCGCATCTTATTGATTGTTCTGATTGGTGCGTCACTGATTTATTTAACCATATGATTAATTGTATTTTCACTTTACACTCTATTGTTGACATATTTAGGACTATCTTTTGTTGGTAAAACTAAGCATTTGTTCAAACCTATTGAAAGCTTAATTGTTTTGTTTTCAGTTGGAACAGATGTTGGATTTGCTCTTTATAGAAGGTTCATTGTCCACGAGGCTGGCCTGAAGGTGAGACAGTTTTAAGTCTAAAGCAAAATACATCAAACATATATTCAACAGGAAACTGAAGTGTTACCATTCTGTATAGTAGGGTATCAGCTGGGTCTTAAAAAGTGCTCTGTTTCAAAATACAAATTTAAGGCATTAAAAAGACAAAAACTGTAAAATCATCATATTTTAAATTCGGTGTTTGTATCAGCAGGTTAGTCTTTACCTCCTAGGGTTTAGTGGCCACATACGTTGACAGGACATTTTAGCCCTTAAGTGGTTATATAAAATACTTTGAATGTTTTGTATTTTGATACATACATACAGTGTCATCCTACAACTGTTTTGCAGCATATGAAATGTACCAAACACTATTTGAACTGTCCAAAATGGGGAAATGTTGTTTTTACTCTCTGATAGTCAAAACATGCTCAAAAAATGTTCTATGTTAAATATGCCTTGCAAAACCGTCAACAGTTACAAATTCAGATCACGAGTCCACATTTTTGGACATACTTTTTCACTAAAAGTACATCATATCAAAAGATGATACTTAGGTTTTATTCTAATTAGGTTCCAATAAGCCCAAATAGCAAATAGAAATAAAAAATCCATGTTAAAAACACCTTGAGCCTTAAGAGGTTAAACAGTACTAACATACCGGATACCCCCTCTGACTCGAAATAAACTAATATCCAGAGTTATTCAGTTACTAGAACAGTACACTGACTCATCTGCTGTAAAAAAAGAGACCTGATGATGAGTGCGAGCCGACTGTTCTCTCACAGCATGCTATCTCTTTGAGTGTGTGATTCGACCTGACTAAGGTAATTTTTATTCCACAATATATTTTGTAAAAGCCATTTAAGCTAGGTAAAAAGTAACTTTTGTTAAAATAAAATTAAAATAATATTACTTATTTTCAAAAGTAATGCGTTACTTTGGAAAAGTAATTTATTACATAGCGTGCATTACTTATAACGCACTAAACTCAACACTGGTATTAAGGATATCTATAAGCTAGTGTGCTCTGTAACAGTGACAAAATCCACATTTAGAAGGTCTAAACATCCAAAGATTGCAGTCTAAACGTAAACTCAACCTCTCTCATTAACAAAGCTGTGATAAAACAAAACACCCTACTGGCTGTTTTTTTTTAAACGAGAGAGGAGCTACTCTGTCCCACCGCTGTCTTCACATTTCAGTCACACATCGAAAAAAAATGCAAACATTTCAAAGCACTTCACGGGACCTTTGTTGCGGTCTTAAATCATTTTAAACAAGTTTTAATTTTTCTCTGTCCTTGTAAACTCATGCTGCAAAATTAAAAGGTTTGTAATTTGCCTGTTTTTAAAACTTAACAACTTAAAGAAACATTTTTGAAAACAAATAGAGTTAGCTTGTTTTGACACATCATAAAATATGTGACTAAGAAATGTGTTAACTTGTTTTTAAATTTTTTTTTGTTGGGGAAAAAAAATCTTTACTACTTGCGACCAGGCCATCGGGGAAAAAAAACTCCATAGCATTGAGCCCTGTATATGTCTAACGTTTTGTTCATAATGGTCTTAAAAAGGTCTTCTGACCAACACTGTATTAGAATGTTAAAAGCTAAATTGGTAGATCTTTTAGATTTCTCGACACAATTATTCAGTCTGAAAATCTTTTTTTTTTTTTATCTGGCAGGTCTCTTTTGTGGCTCATATTGGCGGTGGCATAGCAGGCATGACCATTGGTTATGTGTTTTTCACCAACTACAATAAAGAGCTTCTAAAAGACCCACGCTTCTGGATGTGCATTGTGGGATACATCGTCTTCTTACTGTTTGCAGTCATTTTCAATATCTTCTTGTCCCCAGCACCCGCATGAGGTCATCAATGGACAGTCGAAGCTTTTTTTTATTTTTATAAAAGAATCAGGTCAACACAACTGTCAGACAATCCTGTTGGTATTTATAGACCCATAAAGGGTTAGTTTAACTTAAACTGAAAACTCTGTATTGTCCCATATTGTTCCCTCAGGTAAGAAGCTCATCTTTGAAACACAAACGAAGATATTTTTAAATCAAATCTGAGTGATTTAGTTTCTTCTATTAAGAATCTGTTTACCCCACACCTTTGACTATGAAAGGATCAGAATCCATATAAATAGGTTCACATTTTATGAATAAATAGATTTAATTTTGGTTTACATTTCAGAAATATGGATTTGGAAATCTGTAGGGTTTCATTAAAAGTATCCTAATTTGTGTATTGAAGATAGGAAGATTTCTTATGGGTTTGGAATGAGATGAGGGAGTAAATTCACATTTTACACTGAACTAACCCTTCAGGAAATATGCTAACACACTACAAGCACATCTAAAGAAAGTAACTGTCATATTTTGGATATTTTTTAAATGTAATTATTTTAATGTCATGTAATTTATGTTTTTTGTTTAGTTTTGTATTGTTTTGCTTAACACATGTCCTCAAGTAATGTATTGCCTCAGGGAAAAAATATGATAAAAAAGCATCTATTTTTTATTGTTTGGGTTTTACAAAATCATTGAGCATTTCTGGACTGGCCAACATTTTTAATTCATGACTAAACAGCTTGGTTTATTTGAATTCAGTTCAATTTGTTTGGAGATAAATGCATTTAAAGTTCACCAAAAAATCTAAATTTTATCATCATATATACACCCTTTACTTGTTACAAACCTTTCATTCTTCTGTTAAACACAAAACAAGATATTGTGAAGAATTTTGAAAACCAGTAACCATCGACTTTCAAAGTACAACATTCTTTAAAACATCTTCATTCGTGTTTAGAGAACGTTTTTGTACTTAAAAAAAAAACTCATAAATGTTAGAGGAATTTGTGAGTAAATTTTGATTTGAGGGTTAACTGTTTCTTTAAAAAATTAGAGGTGTCATTTTGATACCAATAGAGGGCAGCATTGATCAGCATGTGGGCATAGGAAGACGCTGACCTATAATTAGTAGGAAATTGTAAAATCAGTGCTAATGACATGCATCTGTATTTACCCTACGTATTTGTCCCTAATTATCAAATCATTTATTTTCAGAAATGGGTTTGGGTTGGGAATGTTTTGGCCATATGAAGGCCATATAGTCTTTTTAAAATGAAATAATAATAAAAAAATGGTGCCAATGTTTTTAAACCAGTGTCTAGAAAAAGTGTCTTGATTTATTCTTTAATTGTTATCATTTGTTTTAGACATAGCTGATTTATGCATTCGTGTGTAAGGAAATGGCTGTGCTTTGCAGAAGGTAAAGTGAGGAAACAATAGGAGATTATTCAACAACAAACGTTGTCCTCTGTTGCTCTGCTCTAATTAGCCAAGGTTAGTTCCCCCCAAACAGACCATTGATCACCAGCCAATATGGATACAGTGTTCTTGCCATTCTAAACAGAACATCAAGGTATTTTCAGTTCACACACAGAAAAAAACATATTTTAAAGCTATTGGGCTATGATATTAGTGTTCACAGTGTCCTTCGTGAATAAGTCATATTCTGTATCTGAATCTTAAAATTTAACAAACTCCAGTCCAACCACATAGCACAAAATATAACACTGATCATTCAAGTATCTTTCATGAAGTTCTCTTATTATTGTTATTAACTGCTATTAAAAGGGTTTTTCCCCATTTTTAAACCAGCGGCTACTGGTCAGGAACATTTCTAAAACATCTTTCGTGAAAATGACATTCTGCGTGTGTAACAAAAAAGATACACTTGTTGGTCCAATTGGATTGAGTACATTACTCCCATTGAACCTAATATTTTTTTGCTATAGAACTTTTAAGATTTGTTTTTACTGTTAATATTCCTTCCACATCCCCTTCTGTAAGTAGTTTTAGTGTAAATGTAAAATAATTAGGGAATTTAAACTACAAAAGCTGTAAAGTAAAAAAATGCCTACTGATGTTGTGAATTGTTCAAAATCTCTTGCAATAAAATCTTTATAAAAATAAATAAAAAACATATTTTGTGTGCAAAAAAAAAAACTTATAAAAGTTTACAACTTATGAAAGTTTAAATTTTAATTTTATTGAGATCTTTCCAACAGCACACAATAATACACTTGATATATATGGCTTTGAGTAATCAATGTACATTTCTGAAATTTACAGAAATATCCGACCCCTGATGTGACCTGTAAAGGGCATTTGAGGATGAAAAGAGGGACTTCTGCTGACCAATCACATCTGTTAGGTAACAGTCTAGCAGTACTTTCCACTACAGAGCAGAATTGGGGTTGTGATTTAAGTCAATGTGTGATGCACTAACCCCAGGAATAAAACATTAATCTAAATTTGGGCTATTGATGATAATTGACTGATGTCTGGGTCTGTGTTTTCAACTAACTGTTATTTACTTTAGCCATCATTGCTAACAGACAAGTGTTGATCGGCCACCAATAGGACATTTGCTCCTGCAAACAGATAATTTGTCTATATCAATTTCAGAAATGCATCTCCTTTCGTAATATTTACAAAAATTTTAGCCCTACTGTGAAATTAATTTATTTTCAGATATTTCCCACATGCTGAAATAGCATCTTCTTTTTTAACAATAATTTTAATAAATAATTTCTTTTGTCTTTGCTATGATAATTGCACATTATACCAGCTATTTTGCAAGATATTAGTATTCAGTTTAAAGTGCAATTTAAAGGCTTAACTAGTAGGTTAAATGGAGTACATATAGGTTTCATAATATTAAGCACTAAACATTAGAGGTTTATGGGGCCTGTTGAAAATATATTTTTAAATAATATTTTACAAACAAACTAATAGAAATAAGAATTTCTCCAGAATAATAACATAGGAAATACTGTTTAATAAATGTGTTAAACATCACTAGGGAAATATCTGAAAAAGAATTAAATGTTTATCTGTGTAAATATTTATATACTGATGTAGCATGACCTGTAATAATTGCTCTGTCATGCTATATCCATACAGTGTAGGGATGTATGTTGAGACTACTATAAATGTTTAATCAGACACAGATTAAAATTAGTAAGTGATCTTGCGGCTCAGTAACAGAGGTCACTTCTAAATCCAACAGTGTTTAAATACATAAACGTTCCCTTTTATTAATATGTTTGTGTAAGATCATGATATAATTATCTTAACAAGCATAAATTGCATTCAAGCTTTAATATCCTAATATATTCTAATATCCTTATATTGAATCTGTAAAAAAAATCTGTTAATTAACTCTACAGTTCAAGAAAATGAGTTTTTTTTGACATTTTAGTTGTTTGAAATAATATAATGCAAAAGTAATAATATATAAAGAAATAAGTCTGCAGATTATACACGGGTAGGTTACAAGGTTTTGCACCATAATATACAACTCCAACCTAGCCGATTTGTCACTTTAAACTATGCGAAAAAGTCCCTTTGGGAACTTAAGGTTAAAAGTTGTTGGAAGACACATCAAGGTCTCATAATGCAATTCAAAAGCATAAATAAACATTATAAAATCTTGAATTATTCACAGATGATTCCTTGGATTTACAAATAATTTTATGCTAAGTGGTTGTAAACAATGTATTTTGCCTGAATTAAACAAAGCAATTAAGTTGAATATTATTGCATTTAATTAGTTTGTTTAAGTTCAACACACATAAATTGTTTGCAACAACTTTTCAGATATTGTTTTTTCTTCAGTGTATGGTGAACTGCTAATTTATGGATATTTTTAACAGTGGATGCATTAAAACAATTTTCAGTTCTTCAAATTAAGTGTCAAAGTTTGTGTATGATCATGCTATAATTATCTCAACAAACATAAATTGCATTTAAGCTATACTATCCCACATGCACTGTACAAAATATCTGTTAATTAACAGTATTTTGTGATTCACAAGTGTTTCCCCTTTATTTATGGTTGGGAATTGCATTAATGGAACTTTGATCTCTGTCGACTTTTGATGTTGAAAATTCACCTACAGTTTAACAAAGTGACTTTTATTGACATTTTAACAAGGCATAATAAATTATATGTAGAGAAATATATCTGTAAAATAAAGGAATGCATACGGGCAGCTTGGTTTTGTACCATATTATACGACACCACCAACCCAGACAATTTGTCACTTTAAACTATTCGAAATGTTAGTAAGTCACTTTTTTTGAACTTGAAGGATAAAAGTCAAAAACATCAAGGTCTCATAATGCAATTTAAAAGCATGAATAATCTTTTTTACAGTTGTAAATTGGATTATGGGACGTTGGTCTCTGTTCTGTTGACTTTTGATGTTGAACTTTCAACATTACAGTTTAAAGTTTACAGTGTCTTAAATAACAGAAAATGCATGGCAGCTTTTTAAACAAGCTGTTTGTACTGCAAGATACAACACCAACCCTGACAATATGTCACTTTAATCCATTTAAAATGTTTATAAAAGTCACTTTGTCAAACATTTCAAGGTTAAAAGATAAAGATATGCAATTCAAAATCAAAAATAAACGGGGAAAAATATCAAATAAAAACATAAATCACAAAAAATGGAAAACTGCAAATTTCCGGATATATTTTTACATTGTGGTCTGTTTTGTAGAATACCAAGCTTTAAATTAATTAATTAAAGCATCTCCAGTCTAAATCTGACTATGCAGCTCATTTATTATATTAAATATAGCCCCTAAATATGTCCAAGCCTTGAATGAAAGCAACCAACCAACAGCATAGTTAGTGAGTGTAATGGGGTTGCACCATTGATTCCTTTTAAATGGAATAAAGTATCACCACAACTAGCAGAGACAACTTAATTACACAGAACCCAGCAGAGTATGAAATCGGACATGACCGATTGATTCTTTTCTGAACTATCGACTGCTAAAAGTAGTGCCAACATGTGGCCAAATGCCATTAGAAACTTAGCTTTGATAATAACAACTCCCTTCAGCTTTCTGGTTTTTAAGTAGCTATTAATCAAATTAAATGTGTAAATGTTTTAGTTTTATGTCTTTAAAAAAGAACCAATAGGTCTTTAGTTCTGTAGAAAAGTGTGTGTGTGTTTATCTCAAGTTGGCACCCATGTTGGGCTAGATTTGCAGTTCAGCTGAAAAAATCGTTCTGCAATGGGTGTTAACTAGCAATCAACCACGCAAGACTGTCTAACATTACTTTAATCGATAGCGGGTGCACAATAGCATGAGGCATCAAGTGTACCCAAGCGTAAATTCATAAAGCCTACAGAAGTTTTTATGTTTTATCTTATCATTGCAGGGTTTTACTTACGCATGGTATACAGTGGCAGTGTTGGCAAGCTGAATCAATTCAGTTTTCCCTTCATGTTGATAGTGGAGCACTGATTATTGACGCTCTCACATACAGAAGCAGCGCGCTTGCCAACAAAGCCCTGCGCACTCGGAAACCTTCTTTTGGTGCCAACAAAGAGGAAAGAGGGGGTCACAAAAGTTTAGGTGATGTGCTGCGTCAGATGTGCAGGGCACCAACGATTTTTAAATATTTTGGTGGCCTCGACGCGCCTCTATGACCCGCGGGGATTTAAAGCAGCGGCAGACTGTCCATACTGCTGTAAGGTAAATGGGCACATTGATTTCTCCTGCATGACTATAAGTTGGCACCTAGACGACCTGCTTGTTATGTGTGTAGCCCAGACCTTTAATTATAAGCGGGATTGCATGAGTCTAGCTTTTTGTAGCTAGTGTGTAGATGCAGGATGGGCTTGTTACAATGAAGATTTACTTGATTTCCCCAACTTTTGTTTAAGGTACGTTGATGGTTTATAGTTGATTTATTTGCTTTCTATTAAAGATAAAGTCGCATGGAGTTAGAACTGTAAACACAGCAATTGATTTCACTTATTAGCACCACATGCAATGTCAATTTTTTGTGACCCATTAATAGATGTTAATTAAGCTTGCTGTAATTGTATTTCAGTACAAACATGCTTGTATTTAAGGATGTTTATGACCTAATTTCTTGGAACATGTTAAAATATTTTAACAAATATATATTTATTATCTTTAACGTTATATTATTATTATTATAGTTATTGTTATTAATTTACATATTTATCTGTGACTACACATTATATATATATATATATATATATATATATATATATATATATATATATATATATATATATATATATATATATATATATATATTTAACACAGCTCAGATTGCAGAAAGAATATTACAATTGTGGTTCTATTTAAGTATTTTAAACCATGTTAGATACACAGCTAATATGTGGGTGGTGCTTTATTTTAAAATGGTAATTAATAACTAATTTATCTAGAAAAATGGTGGAAAGTTTTTTGTTATCATGTTGGTCTGCCATTAATCTAAATTTTGTTGGAGAGATTGGGTTTTTGTACTTGACTTTCAGCTTATAAAATGTTTTGAAACATAGGGTTGAGACTTTTGTCTGGATTTATTGTTTGCATATTTGTGTGAGGTTACTGTTGGAAAACAATGATTTTAAATTAAAGCTCTCAAACATTTAAATAACAGTTTCATACTCTGGTTGATTTAATTTCAATATATTTTCATATTCAAAAGCAATTTCCCATGGTCTAGGTTCATGTTTCTTTCTTCTTATTTTGTCTTTACAGACACAAAAAAGCCCGAGTAAAGATGGGAGACTGGAACTTTCTTGGTGGGATTTTGGAAGAAGTGCATATCCACTCTACCATGGTGGGAAAAATCTGGCTCACAATCCTCTTCATATTTCGCATGCTGGTGCTTGGTGTGGCAGCGGAGGATGTGTGGAATGATGAACAGGCTGACTTTATCTGCAACACCGAGCAGCCTGGTTGCCGCAATGTGTGCTATGATAAAGCTTTCCCCATTTCCCTAATCCGTTACTGGGTTCTGCAGGTCATATTTGTGTCCTCTCCCTCACTGGTGTACATGGGCCATGCCCTCTACCGCCTCCGTGCTCTTGAGAAGGAGCGTCAGCGCAAAAAGATGGCACTGAGACGAGAACTTGAGGGTGTGGATGTGGAGATGGCGGAGGTACGGCGCAAAATAGAACGTGAGCTTCGGCAGATCGACCAGGGGAAATTAAACAAGGCTCCATTGAGGGGGTCTCTTCTGCGCACATACGTGGCTCACATAGTCACCCGCTCAGCTGTAGAAGTATTCTTCATGACAGGACAATATGTTCTGTATGGGTTTCAACTGAATACACTGTACAAATGTGAACGGGAGCCTTGTCCCAATGCAGTGGATTGCTTTGTATCTCGACCCACTGAGAAAAGCGTCTTCATGGTGTTCATGCAATGCATAGCTGGCATTTCATTGTTCCTCAACATTCTGGAGATCCTGCACTTGGGGTACAAGAAACTTAAAAAGGTCATTCTGAACTACTATGCACAGCTGAGGGATGATCCCAATGACAGCTACTATCCCAACAAAGTGAAGAAAGATTCTGTTGTGCATCAGACATGCATTGGCACCTCCACTGGCCGCAAGGCCACCATTGCTTCTGCACCCAGTGGATACAACCTTCATCTTGATCGACCACCTGATGGAGCTGCCTATCCTCCTTTGATTAACCCATCCTCTGCTTTCTTGCCTGTTCAGGGTGATTTACCAGCTAAAAACGGTGCTGATGAACCAAAGTACTTGCAGAACAGTCCCACAGAGCACAACAGCAATTCAAACAATACCAGCAGTGACTCGCACTCACCACCTTGCAACTCTGTCACTCCACCCAAGCAAGACGAAGGGGAAGATTCTGTCCAAACTTTACCACTGCACAAGAAAGGGCAGGAGTCTAAGTTATCAGAGTCATCGAGCCACACCAGAGAATCATCTCATGCCTCATCCAGCATGGTAAAGAAACCTTGGAAGGGTAGTGCTCCCTGGAATTGCTCAACAGTCGTAGAAGGTAATGGCTCAGACTCAGATTCCCTGGAAGGCTCCAAAGCTCGTTGTCCTTATTCTGCTGTGCGGGCACGTACCTCATCCAGGTCTGATACCAAGCTGAGCAGGCCCACCTCCCCTGATTCAGTCGAAGAATCGAGCTCTGAGTCACGGCATAGTCCACGAGCGTCACCAAGCCATCGTGCCTCATTGGCCAGCAGTTCCAGCAGCAGACGAGCAGCTCCCACAGACTTACAAATTTAAGGAAAACGTATTGCCTCCTTACAAATTCAGTCACACATCTGAAGAAAGACAAAGGGAAAGATTCTGTCCATCATTTTTCTCTTCTCTAGAAAGGCCAGGAGTCCAAGACTTAAAACTCATTGAGCTATTCTTGGAAATCTTCCCATGCTTGATCTAGCATGGGAAAACAGCTGGAAAAAGCACACCCTGGACCTGCTCAAGAATTGTAGAAGCTAATAGCTCAGGATCCGCTGGAGATGCTTAAGAATTGTAGAAGCTAATGGCTCAGGCTCTGCTGGAGCTGCTCAAGAATCGTAGAAGCTAATGCCTAAGGATCTGCTGGAGCTGCTCAAGCTTTGTAGAAGCGAATGGCTCAGGCTCTGCTGGAGCTGCTCAAGAATTGAAGAAGCGAATGGCTCAGGCTCTGATGGAGCTGCTCAAGATTTGTAGAAGCAAACGGCTTAGACTCTAAAGGCACCAAAGCTCTCTGCCCTTATTCTGTGATGCAGACCTGTTCATCCAGGTCTGATTTAAAACTACACAAGTTCACCTCTCCTGATTCAGATTGGGCACGGCACAGTCCACCAGTGTCAGCAAGCCATCATTCTCCAGCAGTTCCAGTAGTAGACAAGCAGCACCCATAGATTTACAGATGGAAGAAAAACTCATTATGTACATGTCATGTTTACAGTTGGATAATAACCAGAGTCTACAACTTTGATATGAGCACAAACGTAATCTCAGACTCAAAAAAAATATCCAACTTTTAAAAGTACTCCTAAAAGTATTGTTTACACTGTCTTTTTATAAATTATTCTGATGCAGCAGAGTACTTGCAGAACTGTTTCACAGAACACAACAGCAATTCTAACAACACCAGCAGTGACTTGACCTTGTCAGCTTGCAACTCAGTAAAGCAAGATGAGTGGGAAGATTCTATACATCCATTACCTCTGCGAAAGATAGGCCAGAAGTCAGTGACTTCGAGCCACACCAGGAACTCTTCTTGTACATCATCCAGAATAGAAAAGATTATTAGGTCAGCACACCCTGGAACTGTTGTAGAAGATTATGGCTCTTATTGCCTAGAAGGTATCAAAGCTTTGCCATCCCTGTGCCACTGTGTGGGCATATAATTTGTCCAGATCCAGTTGCAAGGTGGGCAGGCCCATCTCCCGTGATTCAGTTGAAGAATTGAGCTTGAAGCACCTCAGCAGTGCCAGTTGCAGACTAACAGCTCCCACGGACACATGGTGGAAAAAAAGTAGATTCGTTGTAAAATCTACATCTGATGTTAATGCAGAAGTAATCTCAAACTAAAGTTTTGTAAAGTTTTTAAACTGTTGTGACACTCCTAATTGGATCGTTTACACTCTTCTTTATACATATCAATTCAGAAGTTCACTTTTAACAGTTAAACTGCGTCCCAAATGGCACACTATACACTATGTACTTATGCACTTACACACTCAGCAGCATAGTATATGAATGTAGTATCATCCCAAATGGAACACTAATGTTTTTTTACTGACTGCAAATTCTAACCATTTCCCAGGTGACATTTGCCGGTTGCCAAACTAGCAAAATAATGACCAAACTGCCAAATGATACCTGCCATGAGAATAATCGATTCACAATCAAAAAAATAAAGTAATCCGACATTAGTGCCTGAAAGCTCCACCCCTTCTAATACATTAGCAAAGTAGCGGATACTGCAAAATGGTGTAGAATAATACACAAGTATGTGATTTTGGACGCACCTTATAATAAAATACCATTTGTAGTATTTGATTATATAAGGATTGTTCTCATTTGGACATTGTTTTTTTTTTGAGTACTTCTTGCATCAGAAGTCAAAAAATATGCAATGGTAAAAATTTGTAAAATATTCAAAAATATGATTCTGTAAGAAATGTTTCATGTCTATGTCATATTACCAATAAATTAGCCAGTTTGATTTGCAGTGCAATTTTTAACAAACAAAATCAACATTTCTACACTGACTAAATCTCAGAAAGATTCAAAAAGCATAATGTGCTAGAAAATTGCTTGCAAGAACCAAATTCTCCAAACTGCCTCAATAAATGATGAGATTTTAATTTCTAAGAGTAACCCGACCGGTCTTACACCACCCAACCTGCTCCGAGCTGAGATCAAACCAGCGATCTTCTGCATGGGAGTCGGTTGCTCTTAACAAGGAGATTAAAGACCATGGCCTCTAGGGTCTGTCGCTAGAGGACCTTTAGAGGTCAGAGAAGTGAGGTTTTACCTGCACAGCACTTCACTTGCTGGCCTTTGCTACACTCACCTCCCTAAACCTCACTCCCATCCAGGTCACAGCAACAGTATAACCCCACCGGTCCTTATACCACCCAACCCATTCCATGCTGGGATTGTACTGGCGGCCTTCCGCGTGGGAGTCGGTTTCTCTAACAAGGAGGCTGAAAACCATGGCCTCTAGTGTCTATCGCTAGAGCACCTTTAGAGGCCAGAGGAGTGAGGTTTACCTGCACAGCACTTCACTAGCTGGCTTCTGCTACATAAGTAAACTATGCATCATCTAAATGCACATACAGTATACAGTGTACACAGTTTAATCAAGTAGCCTACATGTTTTTTTTATCAGCAAGATGATGGTAAAGTAGCTACTGCTAGTACAATTTGGACTAAAATATTTAATAAAGGGTTCAAATGAACTTATTTTTAATTAAAATTACTTGTATTTATGTTTTTGCACTGTTTCAGATGACGTCTGTTGCCATTAACATTTTTTTATTGCCATCTCTTAGTCACACTTTTTGGATTCTGAAGAAACCAAACTGAAGCAAAGTGAATCACAGCGTGTTGTGCTGTGAAGTGTTACCTCACATTAATAGAAGGCCGATATCCATAGTAGTTGTTGTTATCCAGTTTTAAAGTACAGTTTATAAGACCAGCTATTATATTTTGAGTCTTCGCATACATGTTGAAGGAACTGGATTGGGTTACATTAATTACTTGGGAGTTTTAGCAAAGCAAAGCACGAGCTAAGTATCAAAACATAATCCATGGGTTGCCAAAAGTTACTCAGATGAACCTGTTCTGCAAGACAATTACATTCCTATTGAATTGTCACATTTACTAGAACTATTTCTAGATGTCTTAATTCACCTGAAAATGAACATTTGCTCAGTATATAACCCTCATACCTTGGTTTTTATTACGATGAAAGCTACAGAAGATATTTTGAAAACATCCATTTATATTTTCAAGATAAACTTTCTTATGATCGTCATTTAATTAATGTTATTTATTTATTCATTTTCTTGGTTTATTACCTTTATTCATCAGGGGTCGCCACAGAAGAATGAACTGCCAACTTATCCAGCATTTGTTTTACACAGCGGAAGTCCTTACAACTGCAACCCAGTACTGGGAAACACCCATACACATATTCACACACATACACTATGGAAAATTTAGTTTATTTAATTCATCTACAGCGCATGTCTTTAGACTGTGGGGGAAACCGGTGCATCCAGAGGAAACCCACACAAAAACGGGGAGAACATGCAAACTCCACACATAAATGCCAACTGGCCCAGTCGGATCTCGAACCAGTGACCTTCTTGCTATGAGGTGACAGTGCTAACCACTTTGTTGACACAATATTTATTTATTTACATTTTTAAGGGTTAGGACATTGCAATTTGACATCAAAGTATTATGTGCATGTATGTATATTAGAAAAACTGAACAATTATATTATTGTGGCTGTGGTCTGCTAATGTGTGTTATTGTCTAATGGCCTATAATCCAAATTTTGTTAAAGTTGACATGATTTATGCCATAATAGTCATTACATATTCAGCTTTATAAAGTTTATTAGGTTTTGAGGGACTAAAAGACTGACCCAAAACCCGTTTTTTCTTTCAAATGAGCATTTTAGCATATTTAACATGCACAATGTGCAAAGGGTTATTTATATCTTGTTTTGGAATAAGTATAGTTTACTTTATATGTAGGGAGACAGCTGGGAAGCACTATTGAATGGGACAAACGATATTTACCTTCAAATCTTTCAATACATTTTAAGATAAGTGGAAGTTTCGGGTGAAAGGTCGGGGGAAAAAACAGCCATTCACGCAAATCCGTTTGTCAGGTGACCATCAGGCACATGACTCGGAACGATCCGCCCGCATTTCAACGGCTTACAAGAGTGACATTTTCTTTAGCCAATCAGCGTATAAGTTGCCACACGGCTGCCCAATTAAATTCGACTGTCGCTCACAACTGGGCGTTTCGTCGAGAAGGGAAACACAAGAGAGACTGAAGATTTAAAGGAGAATCCATAATAAGTTTGCTCACATCCTTTTAGCATAAGGAGGTTTTATGTTTGTTTACTCGGCGTTTATTTCATGTTGATTGGATTACTAATAATTGGGGAGGTTAAAATTTAACGGGGTTGGGGAGGGGGGTCAACATGTCGATCCAGTACGAGGCACCGCTGGCGGACAGCTACGGAGTGGCGGACTCGTTTCCCAAAGATTTCGGATATGGGGAAGAGGAGGGAGACATTGAGGACAGTCCTTCTCCCTCCGACAGTAAACCAAGAATCCTGCTAATGGGGTTGAGGAGGAGCGGGAAGTCCTCTATCCAGAAGGTAGGAGGAATATGTGATATTAGACCGTCTGTGTTCCTCCACTGCTCACCTCTCAGCCGAACGAGTTAGAACCGGGTCTGCTGTCACCGGACACGGTCAAGATCACCCCTCAGAGTCGCTGCAAACAAGCTATTTATTAAGCTGAGAGGATTTACGGATGTAATGCCATACAGGCCTACATACATAACACTGAGATAGCTGTGTGAATGAGGATATTATGTACGTTAGCATATCCAAAAGTCATATTGAGGCGACTCAACCGGCATTGAAATGGCACGTGATTTCTTCTTCATTTCTGCCCTGTGTCCTCAAATGCTTATTCATACATTCAGCATCCACCACATCCTCACATTTAGATTATTTCTATAAAACGTCCCTTTTAAAACACGTTTTTCTATCATTAAAGTAGCTAATTCCATATGACAGTATTTATATAGAGGGATTTTTCATCATATAGATGACACGGACCCCCAAATGTCATCATGCCCCCCCCCCCCCCCAACAATATAGGCAACAATATAGATACAGGCTTAAAATGACTTCTACTTTATTTTACTTTAGTTTCTATTATGTTACATTAGATTTCATATGCATTATTGGAGTGTGTTTATTTTATTCATTTACATATTTTAAATATAGAACATTTTTAATAAACATATACAATATTTTAAATAAACATACATATTTTTAATATGTTTTTATTTGAATGTAGTTTTTATTATTTATTGTAAAACAATTTATTAACTGAAATTAATAGTTTTATATTATTTGTATTATCTTTAATCTATTTTGTGATCATTCATATCTTATTTGCATCACTTTATAGTAAATAGTAAGTACAGGGTGTCCACGGGGTCTTAAAAAGTCTTACATTTTATAAACAAAATTTTAAGACATAATTTTACTGAAATGTTGTGTTGTGTGTATTAAATAATTTTAAATGCGTCTTAATTTTTCTCTGTCCAAGTAAAGCTAACCAATCCGACCGACATCCATCCAATTACCAACAATCCATCTTAATAAAATCAGAGAAAGACAATTAAAAACAATTACACATGCAGTTCCTCAGGATAATAACAGAGCAATAAATCCCCTTACATTAACTTTCATTTATACACAAGACTCTTTACAGAAGTAAAGGGAATAGACACAATATTTATAAATAGGCATACAACTTAAGGCTTTATAACAGAAATGCATTAGTTTAAATAGAAGTTGTACTCAGTCAATTTGCACCAAAAACCAACAAACATATATATTTGAGCATTTATATAATTGCCTCCTCAATAAATATGATTTTAACAATGTTAAACTTGTGAGTGGGAAACGCAAAGTGTATACAACTAGTATTTTTTTCTTGTTCTGACATATTAAAGTATGTCGCTAAGAAATATTAACATTTTTCTTTTTTGTGACAATCATAAAGCATTAGAAATGACATTAGTATTTAGCCCTGTATATGTCTAATGTTTCATTCATAATGGTCTTAAAAGGGTCTTTAAAAGTCTTAAATTTGCCTTGATGGGACCAAAACCCTGAAGTAATGTGGATTTCTATTTAACTAAATAAGACAAGTCATAGGTGTGTTTCTAATAATGTTTATTTATCATACCAAAAAGTGTGATTACTTATTTTAGTTTATTTTATTTTATTTTAGTTAATCTTTTGAGTTGTCATTTTGTCAATTACATTATCAATTATTTGCATTTTTTTGCTTTTTATGTATTTTTTTAAAACAATTTTTACATAATGCTCTTTATCCAAACAGTTCTAAGGACTACTTTTTTACTTCAGCCCCCAGTTTGAAAGCCTCTCTTCTAGATGACTTTCTAAGTGATAAAGTTATTTTATTGTTTATGGAACATTTAATTGTGTGTTGTAGACATAATGAATCCAAAAATCACTCTTTGTACCTTTAAATTTGGCACAATTTTAGGGAAGATTGGAGTCATTTTATAGTGGTGTCTGAAACAGCAGTGGATATTATGTAGTGCACTCAGTCATTCCCATAATGCAAAGCAAAGATGAGTGTAGAACTGATGCACACTCAGAGTGGCTAGAGAATAACTGCAATGCAATGTGCACTTGCTAAAAGATGGTGAGCACAGATAAAACAGGCATCCATCCATCCATCCATCCATCCCTCCTATGTTTTTGTTTGATGTGGGCACAGTGTGATATTATATACTGTAAATACCTTTTCAATTCATCATTTAATTAAGGTTTATATATTGAATTTTACAACTACAGTTATTGCTAGAAAATCTAGGGTAGGGGTGTCCAAACTCGGTGCTTGAGGGCCAGTGTTATAGAGGGTTTAGCTCCAACCCTAATCAAACACACCTAAACCACAACTAATCAAGCTCTTACTAGACATACTAGAAGCTTTCTGGTAGGTGTGTTGAAGCAAGTTGAAGCTAAACTCAGCAGGACACCGGCCCTCCAGGACCAAGTTTGGACATCTCTGACCTAGGGGATAGGGAAAGTGTTCGAATTGGAAAGTCAAACGGGTGATTTCGACGCTGCTGCTAACAATTAAAGTAGTTTTATGGCATTTTTAAAATATGAAAGTGCCAAACAGTGTAACAACAACAAAAAGCTATACAAACAAGCAGTTCCTGTTGGTGTGATGAAACAAGTCATGACTGAAGCTTCTACACCTTCAGTGAAAAATGCCATATCATCAAACACCAAACATGAACACATGACAGTCACAACTGCTGCACCACGAAACACACTAGTGCAACAGAGAGAAATCATAAACATGTACTATGTAGCAGCAGATGCAATGTCATGCATCCACACCAATTTGTGTCACCAGCCAGCAAATTAAAAAGTGACTTTATACTTATTTTATAAGAAAATAATTAAGTGTCTCTAAGAATATTGACTTTTTTCTGTTTATTTGGTGACAGAAATAATCATATTAATTTCTCATTTAAAATTTTGCCACTACTGGAACAAAAAGCATTGAAAAGCTTTGCGTATATTATTGTAGTGTATTTATTTGTATCTTATGTTTTGTTTTGACTTCCAAGACAACTGTTAAGGCCATGATATACATCAAACAAAATTAAAGAATGAGTTTTGAATTGTGATTTTTTTTTTTTTTTTTTTTTTTAACAGTTTGGCCAAAATGAAATTAGTTTTAAGGTTGTTGGGTTTTTTTTGTTTGTATTTTTTCTGGCACTTTCACCAAATTAAACTTATGTAAGGAATTCGTTTTGGCTTCTAAATGTGATTTATTCAATCAATGGGTGTCTTCTGAAACTCTGGAACTTCTAGCCTTTTTTGACAAGCTAGTAACAAATCATCGGTGCTCCAGATTTGATAAATAAAAAGAGCAAACTCACCATCAATATTGCTTGTTCTTTTTTTGTGCCAATGATTAGATCAATGCTACTTCCAGATGTTTACGAAACTGTTCTTCTCTTACAGCAGAGGTGTCAGAATATTCGAAAACACTTTAGTGTCAGCCTTTTTAATCTCCTTTCTACTTTTAAATGAAGAAAGCAAAAGAACTTATGTTTGAAGTATATCAGTAGCTGTAACAACTGAACACTAGTTAAACAAAATAAAAACATGCAGAGTTTAACTTTTAAGGTGTCTATGTCTACCTTTTTTAACTTTTTTTTTTTTTTTTTTAATTTTTAAGGCTTTAATTTCTTAAGCCTTGCCACTAGTAAGCTCCTTATTAAGCATGTGACTGGGCTTTTAGTGTGATTTCACTGTTTGACTTCATAGCTCTCCCTTTAGAGGTAAAATGTTGTGCTTTTGGAACGCTTTAATACATTTCATCTCTTGATTTATGTAGGTGGTGTTTCATAAGATGTCGCCCAATGAGACCCTCTTCCTGGAAAGCACCAACAAGATCTATAAGGATGACATCTCCAGCAGTTCCTTTGTCAACTTCCAGATCTGGGACTTCCCGGGACAAGTGGACTTTTTTGATCCAACTTTTGATTACGAGATGATCTTCAGAGGAACTGGAGCTTTGATATTTGTCATCGACGCTCAGGTGAAATGGAAAATTCAAAGACTTGACTAACAAATAACAACTAACAGATGTGATGTAGTTCGTTTGAGATGGCTGGAATCTTTTGCAAAAATTTCGCTTAGTCCCTTTATCATTCAGTGGTCACCACAGTGGAATGAATCACCAACTTATCCAGCATGTTTTATGCAGCAGACGCCCTTCCAGCTGCAAACCAGCGCTGAGAAACACCCATACACTCTTGCATTCACACATAGACTACGGCCAATTGAGCTTATTCAATTCACGCATAGTATGTCTTGGTACTTGTGGGGAATCTTTAGCAAAATGCAGTAGCTAATTACGAATTAGGGTTGGCGATTAATTGAAGGTAATTTTCATGCTCGTTTTTGTCAGTAAAGCTAATTCCAGTAAAGCTCCAGCACATGCTTTAAGATGAAGCAGCTTTTGCTACACATATACATTGTATACAGATAAGCTATGAAAATTTGAGTTCAAAATGAGATTGATTCAATCGAATTATAATAATAATCATTCTGTGATGATAGCAGCTGTTTATGTAGATTCCTTATGAGTTACAACTCGGCGTAGTAAATGGTGCATCTGAAAATACAATACAAAATTACATTTTCTTTTCTCCAAACTCGCTTTATAACTTCAGTCGAGAGTTTAAGATAAATCCTTATGTGGAATGTTTCTGTTGCCATGCTAAATTAATGAAAGTAGTTAAATCTTCATTTATAATGCAAAGCTATAGGAATAAATAAAATAATTTTTGATTTTTTTATTTATTTATGTATTTTTATTTTATAGAAAATGTAACATTCCATGTAGGCATTAGGGAAACTGTTTAAGACCATTTGATTGCAGTTGAATTGTGTTAATAGTAGATAGTTAGCTTATTTAAGTCTTGGCATTGAGTGCAGACATTCTGGTTTCATTTAATTGAATGTTGTTTGTCATTGAGGCTCAGCTCATTGACTTGAGGTTTAAAAATTGCTGCATCATTGTTTCTGTAGAGAAAGAAAGGAGACCGTTTCTTCTCTCAGGCCTTCAGCATTTATCTAACTAAAATATGTTTTATTTTAGTATATGGTCGATTAGATTTCAGGTTGTAAATGAGATCTTGATCTCAATGGGTTTTTATCTGGTTAAATAAAGAAAAATATAGGTTTGCAGACACGATAACTTGTTGAAGTTTCAGCTCCAGCACTGTGTGATATTACACAAGAAGTGTTATTGTATCAGGAAGAGCTGTTAACGGTTTAGCTGTTATGTTTTTTTGCATCATTTATTTAAAGCTTTTATTGTGTAAATAATATATATGTAAATTTCAGTTTGTTTGAAAACCTCAAGTATAGCTTTACTGAACATCAAATTCTTACCCTTTTACACTGTATTACAGGATGACTATGTGGAGGCTCTTAGTCGACTCCACCTAACAGTATCGCGGGCCTACAGAGTGAACCCTGAGATCAACTTTGAAGTGTTCATCCATAAAGTAGATGGCCTGTCTGATGACCATAAGATCGAGACCCAGCGGGACATACATCAGAGGGCTAATGATGACCTGGCAGATGCAAGCTTAGAGAAACTACATCTCAGGTTTACATTTGCACTTTTCTTTCTGATACTTTTATTGATTAAATGCTTGACTCATAATATGGGCCACTATTTCTGCAATCTGAGATGAAGCGGAAACCCTGTTTTTTGTTGTGTCATTGTTTTCAATTTGCAGAACATCCGATCAATATACGAGTTTGTCAAAAGATTTTTCTTAAATTGGTTTGTTTCTTGGTTTGTTTATCTTGCATAATTCATAATTTACCATTAATTCAGACCTAATAATGGGTGTAATGGATTGACAAAGTGCTTCTCAAAGCAAATAGTGTTGATGACATGAACTCTTGTGTAAATCCCAGTGATTGTATGCATTTGCTAAATTAATTTGGATAATAAAACATTAACGAGAGTGCCACTTATCCCTGGATATGATTACTTGGTTCTTTTGTGAACACTTTAGAATTTTGCTGTATATTATCTCTGATCTAGATAAAAATGTCTGCTTAATGTAACATTTATCTGCTAATATTTGCTTTTACTTTTGTTTTGTATTTGCTTTGTATCAATACAGATATAGCATCTGTAAAAATGTGATCAAAGCAAGTGTCACATGAAAAAGGGAAACACACGAAAAAGTGTCACATGAAAAAGTTGTGTTTAACTTGTCAGGGAGGTAAAAAAAAAAAGTGTATATTTTTGGTTGCTACAATTTTGGGGAACTTGTATTGTATGCCTTATCAAGGAATTTGCTCTTAGACAAATGTATTATTTGCTTGCTGGACTCAAGAAGCTTGTTTTTCTTCAGCTCTGTTCAGTAGAAGAAGTTAAGTGTACAATTTAAGGAGACTTGAGTAGTCGATGCCTTTTGAACAACAAGCAAGGGTGAATAGCTAGCATGTTCTGCATACTGTGAACAGCAGTGTCAGATTCTCTTTGGTTTTCATAGACAACCCAACACTGGCAGTATGATGTAAGAAAAGATATATCTTGCTGTCAGTGTCTCAATTATTGATAGTCAACCTAAATAATATAATCCTCACATGAATGTGGATAGGTGGCACGGTGGCTCAGTGGTTTAACTGGAATGTCGCTGGTTTGAGTCCCAGCTGGGCCAGTTGGCATTTTTGTGTAGAGTTTGTGTGGGTTTCCTCTGGGTGCTATGGTTTCCCCCACAGCCCAAAGACATGCACTTTAGGTCTATTGGGTAACCTTAGAGTTTGTGTGTGTAAATACAAAAGTGTATAAGTGTTTCCCAGTACTGGGTTGTGGCTGGAAGGGCATCCGCTGCGTAAAACATTTGCCAGAATAGTTGGCAGTTCATTCCGCAGTGGCGGAACAAAATAAGGGGTATAAGCCGAAGGAAAATGAATGAATGTGGATATTATTAATAATTCACTGACTTTACAAACTGTTATGTTGCATTGTAATGTCTGTTCTTCATTACACTTGCACAAGGAATCTGTGTAAATCAACCTAATATTTGAAAAATTTGTAAAATGTTGCTTTCCAACATTGCAGAGCCTAAGCCACTTCTGCTCTGTATCTCTGTAATTTTCTGTTTATTTGGCTCTCCATGTAAAATGTAGAAATCCATTAAAATCCAGCAAAACATCTCAGGGTTTTCACACAGAAAACCTTGGAATTAGGGAAGGTTTAGATTTTTTTATTAAATTTTTCAATTCAGTTACATTAATGTTTATTTCTAGGACGCTTTTACAATGTAATCTTTATTAAAGCAGCTTAACATAGAAGATTATAGTAAATTGAAACTGTCAGTCCAGTTTTGAAGTTCAATTTAGTGTGGTTTAAATTTACTGCTGAAAGTCCAAACATTAAAGAGCAAATCCATCAATGCGCAGCTCCACAAGTCCCAAACCAAGTAAGCTTGTGGCAAGAAACAAACTTCACCTATTACGAAAGTGAGGGAAACAACCTAGAGAGAACCAGGCTTTTTTAAAGGTATTATGGCTTGCAAGGATGCTGAAAATCCTTTTTTAGTTTTTTAGTTTTAATCTAAGACTCTGGAGTCTCCAGATGTGTCTGTAGCTTGAACTTGCGGTGTTTTTTTTTTTATTATATATTTTGGCCCTTAGATTAAGCAATGGTATAAGACAAAATGCATGAATATTACTACTTTATGACTGATCTGTAAATTAAAATAAATATACATTTTAAAATCAAAAATCTTTTCTTAGAATAATTGGTAACACTTTACAATAAGGTTCATTAGTTAATGCATTTACTAACATGAACTAATCATAAACACTTGTACAGCATTTATTAATCATAATTGAACATTTACTAATGCATTATTAACATCCAAGTCCATGCTTGTTAACATTAGTTAATGTACCGTGAGTTAACATGAACTCACAATAAACAACTGTATTTTCATTTACTAACGTTAACTAACATGAACATACTGTAGTAAATGTATTGTTCATTGTTTGTTCATGTTAGTAAATGCATTAAGTAACATTAACTAATGAATCTTATTGTAAAGTGTGACTGAATACTTTATTCTATAGAATACTATACCAAATAGCATCTGATATAATGTGATGATATATATATATATATATATATATATATATATATATATATATATATATATATATATATATATATATATATATATATATATATATATACTTCATTACATTGTATCTATGTAAATGTGTTACACTTGAAAAGGGTTGAAAATGCACCTAGCAAGTGCTTAAAAATTGACTTTGGAAAAGGTGTAAGAACCTTGAGTTTGTTTACACATTGGAAATATAAAGGTACCCATGAAAATTACAATCTACAGCCTTTGCCTATTCACTGTTTAAATGGAGCCATAGTGAAATTTATTAGCAATACTGTTTAACTAAGTGTGAAACTAAAAAAAGTATTGCTGACAATTTGGACTACTGATAACTAATAAAATGAAAATTGGATCTATTTGTTTTTTTTTTTTGTCAGCCTGCCTGATTTGTTTTTAATCTTTATTTTTTCTGTTTTTTACAGTTTCTATTTGACGAGTATATACGATCACTCTATCTTCGAGGCCTTCAGTAAAGTTGTCCAGAAGCTCATCCCTCAGCTTCCCACGCTGGAGAACCTTCTCAACATCTTTATATCTGTATGTTCCATTACCTGCAATGTTTTAGATGTGACATGAAGCCTTAATAATTGTTGCGCCTTAATTATTTTCCATTCCTCTTTAGTCGTAACATTGGCATTAAAAGGAATATATAGTGATGGTGTTGTTGCAGTGTAAATGCCTTATTCACTTTCCTTCTCGAATTCAGTCATAGTCATGCATGTTTTATTATGCTCCCAATGCTGTAAGATCACATATCAAACCTGCAGGGCATTATGCAATGTATGTGTGTACGTGTTTCTCTCCTAATAGAATTCAGGGATCGAGAAGGCCTTCCTGTTTGACGTCGTCAGTAAGATTTACATTGCCACTGACAGTTCACCGGTGGACATGCAGTCCTATGAGCTCTGCTGTGACATGATCGATGTGGTCATTGACGTGTCCTGTATTTATGGGTAAGACTTTGTATGCTATTTCTAGTTGCATATTTAGGAAACGTTATGTCCATGGTTGTGATTAGGCCTGCACGATATTGGAAAAATTTGACATTGCCATATTTTAATTTCTTGCAGTAAATATTGTTATATAAATACTGTTTCACAAGATGGTTTGAACTCTCTATTTGACTTTTTCAAGGGAGTCTAACAAGCATTTAGGTACAGAAACTGATTTTGCAAATGCACAATGCAAATTATGTAGGGTTGCCTTTTCTCTTGTACAAATATCTAAAAGTATAGATTTTTTTTTACTTTCAGAAAGAAGTCAAAATTAAGTGAGATTTTCCTTAAAAACGAGCCAAATAGTCTGCCAGTGTGCCAAGCAAAATCATTTTTAAGAATTTTTGTAAATGCATTTTTTGGAAAATTAACACTATTTTATCTTCAGTGTATAAATAAATGCAATTAATCTTTGTTATGCCTCCAAAAGTCATAATTTCTTGTACTCAAATGTTTTAACCTCTCTTGAAATGCTCCGTCACAGACCTTAAAAACATGTGCAAATGATAAACCTTTACTTTTATTATGATTAATCTTAGCAGTGACTCTTAAAATCCTGTGTTTTGTGGCACCTGGTCAACTATAATCCAGACTCAACATTGTAAATCCTGCCATGTGATTATTGCAGATGTGCACATTGCAATATTGTGCAGCCTTAGATGTGACACTAAAATTATTATTTTCATTGTATTATTTATTTATTTATTTATTTATATTTTTTTCTTTCATTTTTGGAAGGAGTACAATTTACATTTGTGGTTTTAAAAACCATATGCATTCAGACCTGTCTGGTTTTGTCTGGAATATGTCCTAGACCAGTGGTTCTCAATTCTGGTCCTCGGCTTCCCCTGCTTTGCACATTTTGCATTTCTCTTTTATATCACACAAAAGAAACATTTTATAGGTCTCTCTGTTAACGAGCTGATGATCTGAATCCGATAAGTGAGGAAGACATACAGACATACAAGACATACAACAGGACAGGGGGGTGAGTCGTTGAGGACCGGAATTAAGAACCACTGTCCTAGACCACCTCGGAAAGTGGTTTCAGTTATCAGATGTATATCTGTCTCCAATGCATTTCAGAACACATTTACACAAGTCTTTTTCACGACTATAGCTGATCAGAATAAATGCATAAAGGGACCAGGAGTAAACAGCATCATTGTCATCTTTACTGTCCTGCAAGTGTGTACAATTCCTTAAGATTAAGAAAGCCTTCAGAACTGAAATTTAGATATGAAAATGGTTGTTTTGTTTTTAACACAATGTGAGTTGTAGAGCAGTCACAACAGGGCATAGTGGCTTCATGGAAAGCAGTGATTTATAAAGGCACATTTGAATAATTTTAGACTTTGGATGCATTTAATCCTATAAAAGGAAACTCCTAAACAAAACCAGGAACCATTAAAATGGCATAATAGGAGAACTTCAAAAAAACAAGTTTCAGTGTATGAGTTTTGTCGTTTTTCCTGTTAAACGAAAAACCCAACAAGAACAATGTTAAAAATTTTGGTTGTGTACATGCATTATCCCAGATTTTTCAGGGAATGTTCAAATCCAGAGAAAAAAGGGATTTTTGTGGCCATGCTAATGAGATCACACACCTTTGATTTCTGGTTTGGTTTTATAGAAAATGGGAAACACCGTGTAATTTTGCTTTGATTGCTTTCAGCCCTACTCTGCTTTAGGCCTGCACAATAAATAGTTTCAGCATCGATATCACAATGTGTGCATCCGCAATAGTCGCATCGCATAGATATGCAATATTGAGTTGACTTTGCTGTGTAGTTTTTTTACATTTAAATACACAAAACTATAAATCCTAGACTGCTCATTTCACTTTTATCTTTGCTTTATTGCATTCATCAATGCTTGTAGTTTTGTTTATTATATTTTATGCATGACTCACTCCCTGCAGATTTATCCCAATCATTTAAAATGAATACAAAACTTTAGGGTCCAATTCTCGTTATTAACTAGTTGCTATAGTTGTTATAGTTGTTGCAAGTTAGTTGTTATAAACTACCTTGATTTCTATTAATAAGGAAAAAATTGGGAGTTTATTGAAGCAAAATATGTATTTAATGGTTTGCTAGTAGCAAGAATTAAAACTTTTAAAAAAATGTGAAATTCTTTCCTAAAAACGCTCAATCATTTGGAAAAAAAAATTATAGATGTATATCGCAATATATATTGCAGTAAAATAAGTATCACAATGTCTGATTTTTCCATTACCGTGCAGCCCTACTCTGCTTCATAAGTTTGGAATACGGAATACTTTAGCTTAGTGTTTCTCAACTGTGTTATTGGAGGACCATCAACACTTCCTGTTTTGGATGTTTGCTTTGTCTGTCACATTCATTACAGGTCTTTCAATCTCTGCTAATGAGCTGATGATCTCAATCAAGTGTGTTTGGTTAAAGAGACAGAAAATGTTCAGAGCTGGTGGTCTTCCAGGAATGTGGCTGAGAAACACCGATTTAGCTCATCATGATTTCATGTAGGAGTCCCATAAGATGTGTAATGAAGAAGACAACTCCCATCATTCCATACTCATTCCACATCATAGTTCTCAAACTCAATTCCTGGAGGGCCACAGCTCTGCACAGTTCTTCTTCAACCCTGATCAAACACAGCTGATTCAGCTAATCAAGGTGTTCAATACTACAGCTGCATCCCAAATGGCACACTATGCACTATGTACTTATGCACTTACAGACTCAACAATGTAGTATATGCATGTGGTGTTGTCCCAAATAGAACACTGTTTTATACTTAGTGGAAATTCCAACCTGATGACGGTTGCCAAATTAGTGAAATAAACAACCAAACTACCTAAAAATACCTGCCCATGAGTATAACCGCATTCACCATCGGAGGCGCCATAATCACTCTCTTAGGAGAATTTGGCTTTCACAATCTAAAATAAATTAAGTAATCCAACATAAGTGCCCGATTTGGAAGCTTTGGTAAATGCTACTTCCTCGTTAACAGATTCTGTTGCCTAGTTATGAGCCCTGTCAATCATTCTCACATCATCCATATTTCTGTCATATTTAATTTCCTATTTTATTGGAGATGCAGCAGCAGATTAGTCTTTCATGCAGAGAAATCTCTTCCGGTCTTTGGATAATTCTGCAATTAGAAGTTATTGTTCAAACGCGTCGTTATAGAAGTTCATGTTGTTGTTGCTAATAAAAATATAACATGGGGAAACGCGATTTGAAACATGTTCCAGTTGGCTAGATTGTATTTAACAGTTATACAAACATTTTTACTGAAGCCTCTCTATTTGGTCTCGCACTTTCATCATGTTTGTAGTTTAGTTACATTTTTCACCTGCATTTGTAGTTCTGTTCGAATTTACGACCAACATGCAATGTACTGTGGGTAATATCAGAAGTTAGAGTATGGACTGTTCTACACTTAACCTTTGGCACACTCTTCAACATACTAAGATTTGGGACCTATTAAGGGCGTACTCACACTATGTACAGTTGCCCTGAACCGGGCCAAAGCACGCTTGTCCCCCCTCCCGTTTCCCCCGACTGCCCACACTTACATTACATTCAGGCCTGGGCACGCTTATGTCATCGATGATGCACTGTTCAGTAAGTGCTTTCGCTCAGCACAGTGGACATTTTCTTTAGTTATATTGTTTTAATCGCTTGGGATGCAGTGACGCGCAGTCAAATATTTCACCGAACAGAACAGTCACTTTTAACGCTCATAAACAATCTTAAAGTCCTCTTGCTGCAGGAATTAGGAGGTTTGCTGAAGGTGCAGCTGTCGTGCAGTGAGGGGTTTGCTTCTATAACAGTTTGTGTTCATTGAACAGTAAGAATGATAAATTAATCCGAATGAAACAGTCCCATATAGGTCACATCTTGTCTTCAGTTTCAGGCTCTGGTGTGCTTTGCACTCACACTACAAGCGTACCGTTCCAAAGCCCAAGTAAACCACACTCTGGCACACCTCTTTCAACCGGGCCAGGTGAACCTCTTTCAAGCCGGCCAAGTGAACCGTGCCTGAGCCCGATTTAGAGCACTCACACTTCTCAAACGATCTGGTAAATGGGCCTGGGCCTGGTTTGGATAACATAGTACGAGTACGCCCTGATTCTATTTTCCAGTAATATTTAAGACCGATAGTATGCAAATTGGGACACAGCACTACTAGATCAAATGTGTTTGATTGGGGTTGGAGCAGAACTGCAAAGGTGCGGCCCTCTAGGAATTGAGTTTGAGACCTATGTTCCACATTATGTCTTTGTTTTGAACATGCACCCTCTAGTGGGAAAACTTTTGAAGAAGAAGAATTGACAAACACAGTTTGTAACCATTTAGCATTCTGAATGTATGCTTTGATTTCTGTAGATTAAAAGAGGACGGCAGTGGCAGTGCATATGATAAGGAATCTATGGCCATCATCAAACTCAACAACACCACAGTGCTCTACCTGAAAGAAGTCACCAAGTTCCTCGCTCTGGTCTGCATCCTGAGAGAAGAGAGCTTTGAGCGCAAAGGTACACCTCAGCAATATATTATATTGGAGTCTTTGATTTTCTAAATCGACAGTTGTTTTGATTTCTCCTTTATGTGCCACAGGATTAATAGACTACAATTTCCACTGTTTCCGGAAAGCCATTCATGAGGTGTTCGAGGTGGGAGTTTCCACCTCAAGGACAAGCAACCAGCCAGTTGGCACCCCTCTTATGAAAACTGTTGCCTTAAATGGAACCCCAAGGAGCACTGTGTAGAGAGAAGGTGATAAAGACAATAATGAAAAGTGTGGAGAAGATGGATAAGGTAATAAAAGAGAAAGACTACAGGATGGGCCGCATTCTGAGTATGCTGACCATCATTAATGCTCCCAAAAGCTTTATAAGCAAAAGAGTCACTAAAACAAACATGCTGCAGTGTGTGGGGCAGAATTGTAATGTGGGTAAGCTTGCAAAGCCACGCATGTATGGAAGGGAAGAGGCACAAAAGAAGGTGGAACACTTTTTTTGTGACTAAAAGGCATTAACAAACTGTTCCTCAAGACAACATGTTAAACAAAAGTGCAAGTCACTGGGGGGAAAAGCACAGCAAGAAACCTCACCCTGTCAGGTTGAACCTCCTGACAACTTGGATGAATGCTGTATGATATGTTGCTGGTCACTTAACACAGTAGCCAAGTTTAAACTGGTTTACTCCTAAACACATGAATGTGGCAGACGTCTGTGAAAATTTTGCAGTGCACAACAATATTGAGTGTATACTTCTGAAGCCTTATGTAGAGTTGTCCTAATGCAAGCCCCTAATGCACATATGCACACTTGGTCACCCAAATGTTTTGTGTATGAAAGGGACTGAAATGTGATTTAATGTGTCTCGACTGTGGGAGCTAATGCATGTATGTGGTGGAAATGGTGGGTGGGTGTTGTGTATGCACACTGGCTTGGGGCCCAGAGATGTTGTGACATCTCACACAAGAATGAGGAGGAGTTGTGCTGTTCCAACTGACCTCTGGGACACTGTGATTGCACTTACCTCAGAGGATTTCAGGGATCCTAACTAACACAATTTAAACTGCTTTTGCTGTACTGTTGCCCTTCAGTTACGTTACAGCATCTTTGGAGGATAGATCATGCAATCCTAGCACTTTGTAGGATGAACCTTAATTACTTACATTCCGGTTCTGAGGTGCCAATGCAGTTTTGCTCGCATTAAAACTTTGTAATACTTGCTTTCACTTTTCCCGATCACCAATCAGCATGTTGTTTTTAATTCTGATGAAATCTGCTGTAAAATAAAGATAATAAAGACGGCTGAAGTGACAGGACATTTGAATCAGTTAAACCCATTCCAAGCATGTCCTTAGAGATGCTTCATTTTATCTTGCAATCAGCTCTCATCTAATTTTGTTTAACAGCAACTAAATTAAACTTAAAGAACACAACACATTTATCTTTAAGCTTGCTTGTGATTCTTGTTTCTCAGACTACATAGGCCTATAGGATACACATTATGCCTGTCTCGCATTTTGCCAAAGGTGTTATCATTTATGAGAAATAAAACACACACTGAAAACAGTACTCATGTGCTATCATTGTCCACACAACTGAAATGGGGACACCTTTTGTTTTATGATTTTTATAACTTCATTCATTCATTTTCTTGTCGGCTTAGTCCCTTTATTAATCGGGGGTCGCCACAGCGAAATTAACCGGCAACTTATCCAGCAAGTTTTTTACGCAGCAGATGCCCTTCCAGCCGCAACCTATCTCTGGGAAACATCCACACACACATTCACACACACAACACTACGGACAATTTAGCCTACCCAATTCACCTGTACCACATTTCTTTGGACTGTGGGGGAAACCGGAGCACCCCAAGGGAACCCACGCGAAGGCAGGGAGAACATGCAAACTCCACACAGAAACACCAACTGATCCAAGGTTCGAACCAGTGACCCAGCAACCTTCTTGCTGTGAGACGACAGCACTACCTACTACGCCACTGCCTCGCCATTTTTATAACTTATTATAACAAATTCTTAGTTACTAAATAAGTTGGAAGAGCAAAAATAAAATGAACAAATGTTCACTGAAACACTAGAAATAAACGTTGAAATCTAGCTTTTTTTTTTTTTGCTCAAATGACACTCTAAGATTATGGTTTATTCCTTAATAAACTTTTAAAATGTATGTCATAAATTAAATGTGGTAGATATGCTTAAATATTTTTCAATTTACTCACCTGTTAATTTCCTCAGCTGTAAAACTCACTGTATCGTTATGGTCCAATTTAATTTGCTACACGAATCTCAAACGTTGTCCAAATAAGTAAGTGTTCGTTGATCATTTTGAAGTTTAAGTTATAAATTTTACCGAAAATCTAAAGAGTCGAATCTTTTAAGTTCATTAGATCAATCTAGTTCACGCCTGCAGTTCAGACAACCGTTTTAAATGATTCATTGACGAAACATTCAACAGACACCAAATCCAGTCACGTCGGCTGCATTCTCTTTAAGTGGATTATCGATACGTAAGTAACAATTTAAATACTCGACGTTTTTCCACATAAAACTATAACATGAATTGAAATTATAGCACCTGAAAGCGCAATCACCTCACTTTCTAAAGTTTCCGCTTTGAATCGTAAAATTAACCGATGACATAAAGTAGACTAAGGGCGAAAAATACCTTTATTTTAAGAGACCATATGGTTCAATCACAAAGACAGTAACTGAGATGGCAAGTTATGTGCTATGTTTTACATTTATTTTATGTTAAATTTGTCTCGTTTAATTTGAAGTTCGGTTCGACGTTCGGTTTGTTGACAGTTGAGGGCGCCAGAGGACTGCAATTAAACTTCCATTAATGTTAAACAACATGGTGTGATGTGGACTATCATAAATTTATGGGACATTATACTACAAACATGCATGATCTGTTCCTAAAATAAAAACATAAATACAGTAAATAAAAAGTATTTAATCCCAAAAATTTCTAAAATAGTCCGATGGTTGATTTCTGTACGTCGTTCTGATGTCAAAACACTTTACAAATTTAAGTCTGTCATCGTCCTTGTCCTCAGCACAATTGAACCTACAGCTTTATAGTTTTGTTATGCTAAAATTGTTATTTAGAAAAAAAACTTCAGAAATAATAAGTTTAAGTTGTTATCATTGACATAAATTGATTTAAAAACATGAAATTATAAATAAATTCTATTTTACAATTGTCCCCATGTTTCTGTCAGTCCTGTTACATTTGCATTAAATTTAACATAAAACTCGTGCAATACACGACTCGAAAGTGACATCATTTGACGTAGGAGAAGCTGACCATGATTAAGGAAGCTTTCTATCATTCAGTTGTATGATTTTTTGCTTGTTTTTGTATGATTTTTTGAGGACAAAATTTTTTATAAGTGAAAATGTAAGTTTCTGGTAGAATGTATTAGTGTAGTATTCCTGTGCTGAGTTACGTCTAAAGCAGTTTAGTCTTTGATATCTCTAATCATCTATTATACTTTCTTCTCTTCGTGTCCTTTTACAAAAAAATTAAAAATGACTGCGACTCATTAAACAAAAGGTACTCTACTTGACCGTCAATTAATAATACTGGTAATTCTACATTTTATTATTATTATTTAAATATATATAATTTTTCCAAGTGTTGAAGCTTAATTCAGTTTTATGAGAACACTATTGGCTCAGGCATCATTACTCGTGGAGTCTTGTTAAATACAAGCTTGAGGAACGCAGTTGTATCACATGAAGCCAATAAAAAGCAGATACGCCTCGCAGCTACTGTCAAGACTCATTATGAGACCTCCACGTCAATGCAATTTACTGGCAATAAAACACCGACAGCAGTTCTGTGCACTTCATTAAGCTTCTAATTTCTTGTAAAAATCCTTCAAATGGCTACTGCTCTGATGTGCTATAGAAATGTTGGTCAAAACTAGCAACTCGTCTTACAACTTGTGAAGGAATAATTAAACAATTCTGGTCAAATAGGAGTCTGTTTTAGATTTAAGGTTTTTTTTCTGAGTAAGTCTATTTTTATAAATGGCTGAAAAAAACAAGCATTCACAAGCCAATTATGCCTAATTACTTAAAAATTTTACACTTGCCATTATCCTGAGGTACTGAATATAGGCATAATATGTATAATATAATTATGTATAATATTAATTAAGCTGTTAATTTCTAATAACCATAATGTTTGGGATGGATCATTAAGGCAGTGTGTTAATCTTTCAGACCCATTTTAAGGTCAATCCATTTAATACAAATATTGAGTCAGAAATATAAAATATTGAGTCTAAAAATAATACGTTTGAAAAAAAAAATTCATACATGCACAGCACAATTCACATTTACAAACTCCAATTCGTAAATTCAAATCACAATTAATAAATACAACACACAATTTGTGAAGTCACAAGTAAAAATCATAAATGTTTTCACCAAATGAATTGGATTTGTATATATTATGAATTGTGTTTTGATTTTACGAATTGGATTTATGTATTTCTAAATTGTGTTTTGAATTTAGAAACTGGAATTGTCTATTTCTAAGTCGTGTTTTGAATTTCACGAATTGGATTTGTGTATCTACGATTCTCCATAAACTGTAACAGATTAATATGAGATGACAATTAGTCATGAGTCACTATCAGAATTGATAAACTGATAAATTCAAGTGTTTATACCAAGTAACAAACGGCTCTATGTCAATAACAACCGCAGTAACATGAAAACTAGTTGTTGTAATATTTTTTTGTAATATCTTTTGAAAAGACTACAATAATCGGCAAAGGGAAATCTTGAGTCATAACACATTTTACTTTGCCTTCATTTTAAGCATTTAAATAGTTTGTTCACCCAAATAAAAAAAATGCTGTTTTATACAGTTGAAGTCAGAATTATTAGCCCCCTTTGAATTTTTTTATTTTAAAAATATTTTCCAAATGTAGTTTTACAGGCGACGCGGTGGCCCAATGGGTAGCACATTCGCCTTGTTGATGGCCAAAAGGTTGTTGTTTCGAGCCTCGGCTGGGTCACTTGACGTTTCTGTGTGGAGTTTGCATGTTCTCCCCGTGTGTGTTTCATCTGGGTGCTCCGTTTTCCCCCACAAATCCAAAGACATGTGGTACATGTCAATTGGGTAGGATAAATTGTCTGTAGTATATGTGTGTGAATGAGTGTGTATGAATGTTTCCCAATGATGAGTATCCAGGCATGGATGGAAGGACATTCGCTGCGTAAAACATGTGCTGGATAAGTTGGCGGTTCATTCTGCTGTGGCGACCCCCGG